AAACCCGAACAAGAAAAAAAAAAAAAAAAAAAAAAAAAAAAAAAAAAAAAAAAAAAAAAAGAAGAGCTGAAGTCCTTCATACAGGACTTAATATAAACTTTGTCTATTCCCAGGACACAAGGTCCATGTCGTCCCTAGAGGTCCCCTTAGTATCTGATTGTCATTTCCATGCCCATCATGTAATTCAGGACTGTAGCTGGGGACCTAAAAAGCCAGCAGACAGGACTGAGTGGAGTTTACTGAAGCACAGAGATCCCCAGTTCCGGCTTCAACCACTTGAGAGACCTGTTTGATAATACATTCACTTTAGATCAGAGGTCTTAGAGAGAAACACAGGCCTCTTCCTGCAGGAGACACTTTTAAAACCGGGGGATGAGCTGTAGATAGACATTTTTACAATGACAGTTCGGGCCTGGAAAGATGACTTCAGTCAGTTAAAATATTTGCCTTACAAGCATGGGGACTTGAACTGAATCTCCAATACCCATTTGCCTATTAACCCAGTATTGGGGGTTGAGGACTCTGGGGCTTCCTGGCCAGCCAGTCCAGCCATATCAGTGAGCTCCAGGTTAGGTGAGTGATCCTATCTCAAACAATAGGGACTTAAGAAGACACTTGATGTCAACCCCTGGCCTTTATACATGGGAATTTATGCATATCACACACACACAAACTTGTATGCACTCATGGACACACGCACCCACGGAATATGTACATATGCAGATTGTTGCTTCAAGGAGGGCAGCTTACACCAAATTTTTAAGAAGTGAAGACAGCATCCTGTTTCAAGTTTGCTTGGAACAGAACATCTGCTTTATTTTCTCAGCCAAAGAAGCAGGGGGTCACTGGAGTTCATGTCCTCCAGCTCATTGCTTTCCCACCCACAGCTGTGTTCTTGACAGCTATAAGCATCCAGGCTTAGCTTTGTGCCAGGTGTCATGTGGGGTGTGGCCCACCATTTGAGTCTCACTCTCCCCCCCCAAAAAAGCTGGTCACTTCTAGGATTCTTTCTGGAAAAACAAAACACAAACCAAAACAAAAAGCAGTATCTTAAGTTTGAATTTTAATAGGCACCAAAACTAAGAAAAAGGAGTGACTCAAAGTGGTGGATAGTGTTTGCCATCTGTTGGACAAACAACCCAGGAATGGTTCAGTGGTTAGGATTTGGGGAAGAGACTCATTGTAAATCTTCTAAATAACAGGTAGCTCAGCCACAATGTTAGGAGATACTGGGTCCATAAATAAGCCCACTGCCTTAGTTTCCCCACCTTTCAAAAGAGATTAGGAAACAGAAATCGACAAAATGGTTGTTTACATTTATTTATCAGAAACAACAAAATAACAATGGCAGCAGCCAGTGCCCTTCAGCACACATTGGGAAAGAGAACAGCTGACAGGTGGCAGGCCCTGTGCTGGGTGGGGGGGGGAGATTACTTCATTGACTCTTTACAAGCATCTAGGAGGTGTAGCTAGTAGATCGTCTGGTGGAATTTTTACACCTGCATTGACACCCACTTTCAAGGGGTTTGTCTGCCCAAGCCTTAAACCCAGCCCTAGGACAGGCTGTCCTGAGGATTAGTGCTTTACACACATCTTCCCACATAGATCTTGAGGGAAGAGTATGTTAATGAGGAGGAAGGAATTTTGCAAAAAAGAACCAATATATCAACTGCTCCTTTGAAGGAATCCCATCCTTAATAACAGAATGATGTTGTTTTCCCATACGGTCGGTCGGTGGAGTTGTTTGGGGTGAGCTATGGAGCTCTCTGGCTCCCCACAGCTGTAGTACTTTGCTGGCTGGAAGTGTTAGTCTAGGTTTGTTCTAAGTCAGACTAGATTGCTCTCTTCCCTGGCAGCTGTACATGGGGAGTCAGCCTCTCCCAGACCCTCAGCAAAGGGATCGCACAAATCCCAATATGTGGTTTCTGGTTCTCTGTCAGAGAAATGCCTGCCTCTGCCCCTGGTTGCAGACCTAGGTGTACCTGACAACCTAAAGCCCTTGTCATTCCGGGAGGAGGAGCTGAGGTGTCAGAGAACTTTAACCAAATCCCCGAGAAATTAAGGTCTTCTGTCCATTGAGGCAGAAAGATAAAGGAGTGTTTGCCTCTGGTTTTACTTGAACTGACACCACATCTATATTATCTTGGGGTTGACCTTCTGAATAGATTTAATCCCAGAAGACATTTGATGTTGCAACCTTGACCCTGAGAGTTCATGCCTTAAGCTGTCACAAGCTCTTTGGCTCCTGAAGTCTTCTGTATGCTGCCCACAGTCTGTTTCTTCATTCCCCTCTCTCGCCCTCCCCAGCTGGGGTAGAACACAGACCCAGAACACCTGCCTCCAATGTGGCTGTCAAGTGCAGAGAGTGGGGGTCATGGAGGTCACTCAGGCCTGTGTTACAGAGCAGAATGACTGTCACCAGCTCTGCCCATACTTACTTGTGACAGAGATGCAACATCTGTGAGGCTTGGCATTGTGGGAAGTGCCAAGTTGGGGGAAATATAGAAACCATGAAGGAAAGAAATGGTTGATGAGAGATCTTGGCCACTTGCTCCAGTCAGTGTTTAGTGGAGCTGCCCATATGGGTCCCTGTCTCATCCTGGCACCACTGCAGGGTTCACCTACTGCTGTGGGTCAGCATGTGTAGACACACAGGCACATACCAGTGCAGTTGGAAACATTGCCACCCTACAGACAGGCAGCTCAGGGGGCAAGCCCTCTGTGTTGGAATGGGATCCTATCAGCATACTCCTGATACAAGGAAAGAAAACATTAATTCCCACCAAGCTTTATGTGGCTGCTTTGTGTAAAAGACTATAGTTTCCGTGCAAAGACTGGGGAAAGAGAATGAGTTGTCACAGGCCCACTGAGGTGTCAGCCTTGGGTCTGGTCCAGTAGGCCCCATCCTTGATCCAGCCCCAGAGTCCCAGCTTCCTTCAATGGTCTCTTCTTATACCAATCCCCCTTACGGGCTATTCCACGTAACTTTTCTGCTCATTTCTTTTAATTTTTTTTTTCTTTATGTGTACAAGGGTTTTGCTCCCTGTTTGTCTGTGCACCATGTGTATGCGTGTAGAGGCCAACGAGGGTGACATATGACATAAACCCTGGAGTTCCAGATGGTTGTGAGTCACATGTGGGTCCTCTGGAAGAGCAGCCAGTGATGTTAACCACTTATCCTCCCAGCCCCCTTTATGCTCAGTTTAAAAGTTTTAGCCCGAAATTTAAAAATCTTTTAGCTCAAATGAAATTATTCGTGTGTATGGCATAAAGAATTTGCCAGAACTTGTTCCTTTGAGTAAGAGGTGACCAGAGTGCTAGGGAGACCGTCCACGGACATACTAGATCTGCTGCTGGCTGAGGCTGCCCTGGTCCTGAACAAGTTTCTTCTCTGCATCTGATTTAAAACTGGAATGGCGAGTTCTTCTGGTTGTGTCAGCCGAGAGAATTAAGTTCAAATCCAGTGAGAAATTTTCATCTATTTCCAAGTGAGGCAGCTGCCTCTCTCTGTGCAGCACACAGTGGGATGGGGCTGGTGAGGGGTGAGGGGTGAGACACTTGAGAGAACCCCTGGTCACGAAGGGTAAAGAAGTGATGAGAGAGCAAAGAGGACCCTTTGAGAAAAAAGAAGACACCAGAGAGAGCCTCTAAGTATTTTGTAGAGAACAGGAGAGAAATACAGTCTGCTAAACATTCAGGCACCTCGCACTTTCTGTGTCAGCTAATGACGGGCCGGCCTCTGGGTAAGGAATGAAGCTTGAAATGATTTTAGACATGGCATCCATCCCACAAAGGGAGCATTGTTAGGACACTGTTGTGTTTACCACCTTGAGTAAATCAGGGATAGGGAGCATGGCTGGTCCCAAATGAGGACTGTCATACATTCTATCTATCTCCTTCTAGACAGATTGCCCTGGTAGAAATTAGTTTTAAAATGAATGTTGAGGTGGCAGTCACTATATATATTATAATATATTGTGGCTCAGACCAGAGGAGATAATCTCTTTGATGCATCTTTAGAAAAAACAAAAGTCTGCTGAAGAAGAGAAAAAATGTCATCAGAGATGCTTTGGCTCAGGGGGTTAGGGAAAGTGGGGTCTCTCCTAGACTCCACTCCTCAACCCCACCTCCCCTTGCCCCCTGGGCCAAGGCAATACAGTACTCCTTACGTGGGAAAGAAGATGGAGATGAGACTGAAGGAAAGGGGGAGTGTCTAACTAACCTTGCTTCCTTGTTGCCTTTATCACAGAAAAGGGTCAGCCTCCTGCTGCTACAGGTCCTGGGGCTGATGGGCAACCCACCCCACCCTGGATCACCATGGCCCGGCAGAAGCGAAGAGGGGCCCCAGACCTTCCTGTCAACCAGGAAGACAAGCCTGGGCCACGGATCCTGAAGACAGAAACTGGAAAGCAAACCCAGGTGCTGAGAGAAAACACTGTTTCTGTGGAATTCGGGGTGGGGCTGTTGGCAGGGTGGGTGGGGGCAGGCACTGTGGTGATCACAGAGATCCTACATGGGCATCACAGAGCCAATGCCTATGGTGACCGCTGATGCGAACTTGGGGACTAGTGAGGCCAAGTCACTATGTCAGCTTCTAGCCCCCATAGAAGAACAGTCTGCCTGTGTGGGCTGTTAAGAAGGCAGTGGAGACAGTTCTGTGCTCTGGCCTCCTAGGCAACGCAGCTCAGCCTCTGGAAAAAATTGAAGAGAGTTAAAACAACGTCTCCCCTTAGAGACACGGTGACACTGTCACCAGATCCATCTCAGCTCATTGTGCAGTGATAAATGAACCCCGTTCCTGCTGCTGCCTGCTGGGTTCCCTGATTCCTCACCTGGGGCTGCACAGCTAAAGCCCAGAGTTGCATTATGTATTCAGCTGAAAACAGCTTTCATCAACCCAAACAACTGTGCTTAGGAGTGTGCTGTGCCTTAGCTATTGTAGCCCTCTACTAAGCAGCACTATAAGTGGGAGCCTGCTGTGGTAGGACCTGTTTCCCTTCATGCTAATGCATCCTTGGTTGTAGCCACGGCTGGAGACCTCTATGTAGTGCAGGGGCAGGGAAATTCAAGAAGGAACGGTTAGCCCATTTCAACTTGTGCCATTTACCATGTGTCACAAAGCCACAAAAGGATTTCCAAACTGAAGCCATTTGGCTTTCACAGTGAATCCTTGCTGTCCACCATCTGGGGCTGAGGCTATGTTGTAGGTGCAAGGAAGAAGCCACCATGCAAATGTGGGCAGGAAGGGGCTGGCACAAGTCAGAGCTCTGGAATTTTGATGGGTGACATTGGTGAGCTGGTGCCCGGAGCCCAGAAAGTGCCAGCAGCATGATTCATCTTGAGAGAGACTTCTTGTTGCCAAGCCACTCTGGGTGTTTACCCCTCTGAGTCTGTAGAGCTGGACAGCATGTGTGTCATTCTGTGTCTCCATAGGACTCTGTGAAGCAGGGTGACTTTGTCCGAAGCAAATCTTTCCTGATGACCCCTGTGAAGCCTGCTGTGACCCAGAGGCAGGGGTCAAAGCTGAGCCCCAAGGAGGGACTACAGAGAGGAATCTCACTGTCCCATCAGAACTTGGGTATGAGATTGGCATGAATTTGCAAACACTTTGCTGTCATTATAATCAAATTATTCCTGCAGTTGGGAATTTGTTTTGTTGAATCGTTTTTTGCCATGTTGAGCTGGGCCTTTTTTTTTTTAATGCAGCTTTTATTGAGATGAAATTCACACATCATAAAACTCACCCATTTTAAATGTACATTTCAGCGGATGTATCTTACAGTGAGCCTATGTATATTTGTAGAGTCCTGCCGCCCTGGTGGCAATCCAAGAATAGAACATTCCCTCACACTGGAAAGACACTCATGCCCATTTGTCATATTCCCTTCCCTGGTTGTAGGTAAGCACTAACCTATTTATGTCTCTGTAAGATTTGCCTTTTTGGGAACATGAAAGCATAAAATATGGGCTCTTTTCTCTGCTGTTTTTGAATGCGATTCCGAGCTCACTGCGGTAGCATGTGTCAGTTTTCTCTTTTAATGCTGCTGGACATTGAGCCCAGGATATTGTGCACACTAATCAAATACTGTACCACCCAATAACACCCCAGTATTTTCTAAATTTTATTTATTTTGCATTGTAAAGACACAAGAACCTAACTTCCCAAGCTGTCTTTTAATGTGTGATTGTGAAGGTATTAGGCTTGGTCCAATGGGCAGCCTACCTCTAGGGTTCTGTGGTCAGACCCAGCACATTTCAACCCATTTTGCCTCTAGAACCATCTAAGCCTGCTCCCATGCTCTTTCAATCATATACACACCATACCTGGTGCTTGAGTCTTCACACATTTACATATTAATGGATTGTGTATTCCGAAACACAGCAGAGACTGTAACATGTATTTAAAACTATTCAAGAGGCTTAGTGAAAATCCACACTCCTGTCTCCTGCTTTTGTTTGTTTTGTCTCTTTACCAGCAGCTCAGGCTGCAGCGATGACAGAGAAGGAGTTGCATCAGCTGAAGAGAGCCAGCTATGCAAGTACAGATCAGCCATCCTGGATGGAGCTTGCCAGAAAGAAATCTCAAGCTTGGAGCGACATGCCCCAGATCATAAAATAGATCGGCAGCCTGCCGATGAAGGATGTCCACCGCATTGACTGGCTACTTAGTTTAAACTGCCAATAAATCATGGCAAACAGACTGTGAAACTTAAGATTGATTTTTGTCAACGAATGATGATGTGTTCGGGGAAGAGAGAGGAACCAGGCAGAACAAAGAAGACGAGGCAGCCTCAGTCCTGGGACAGAGGGGTTGCAGTAAGAGGAACCCTGTAAAAGCTCCTTCCTGTGCTGAGGTATCAATGTGACCCTTCAGAATCCCCCTTCCAGCAAGTGGAAATGAGGAGTGCACATGCTGGGTGTCCTTTAAGAACAGAACCAGAACTTCTTAGGAGTCCCAGGTCTGCTTTGTCACTTGTCATCAGCCAGTGCCTCTGGCCACTGTCTTGCGTGGACCATTGTCATCTTTTGTGTTTACTAATAGGCATGATGTTTATGGTAAAGCAGGGATGCCATTTACAAGAGCAGCTACATAACAAAACAGTTTCCTGAAGATATCCACCCTTGAGAAGGGGAGGATGGCACGTGGCAGGGTTTGTCAATTCATAGACTGATTCCAAAAATAATTTTTAAACTTTTCCACTAGGCATCTGTGTCCTGAACCATTGCACAATGCATTGCCTGTTTAATAAAAGGTTTCAAACATGCTTCTGCTTTGTGTGTAAATGTTATTTCTGCTCACGGGGAACATCCTGATACTGAGTTAAAGGCTTTCCTTCACACCTCACTGAAAATCCTGGCTGGATTGGGTGTTTGAGCCTTGGTGGTGGTGGTGGTGGTGGGGGTGGTTTGTTTGTTTTCATTGTTCTAACAGAACATTGGTATTCTTTTTAGGAAGAAAGAAGAGTATGTAGGCTTTTTCCCCCTCATTTTCTCTATGTATCAATCACAACATTGTTAAGAATATAAAATTCTTAAAGGCTGTCTTAGTTTGCTTTCTGTTGCTGTGATAAACAACATAACCAAAAGCAACTTGGAGAGGAAAGGTTTATTTTGGCTTGCACATCCCAGATCACAGTCCACTCAGGGAAGACATGGCTGGAGCTCGGAGCAGATATTGAAACAGAAGCCATGGGGACTGCTTGTTGCTCATGGCTTGCTCAGCCTGCTTTCTTGTACAACCCAGAACCACTGGGATGACACTGCTGGAAGTGAGCTGGACCCCCCCACATCAGTCATTATCCAAGAAATGCCCTTGCAGACTTGATGATGTGCTATCTAATGAGGTATTTTCTCAGTTGAAGTTTCTTCTTCCCAGATGACCTTGGTTTATGTCAAGTTGACATAAAATAAAATAATAAGTAAATAAATCTAACCAGGTCACAGTCAATCCTTTATTGCATTCCACTTATCCAACCTGTATATTCCTGTTGGCAACTGGATCACTGGTACAAGAGACAGATAGGCAGAATGTGGTGAAATTGGACTGGAACAAAACTTCAGGATCTTGGGGTTTCAATATAATTGTTCTTTAAAATAATTCCAGTTTGTTCTTCTCCAAAGGCCAGTCTCCATGAGAGTTAGTTCAGCTAGACTCAAAATCAGTCCAACATCACAATATATTGTATTGTAATTTGATTTTATGTGTCCTAAGGGATGCCATTTTTAGTCTATTTTCTAGCCTCTTGAAAATTATTTTTCTAGCTGTTAGTACTACACAATTTTATTGCATCTGCCTCTGTTGAAAAAAGTCTTGGGACAGTTTTTCCCCCCAGCCAAATTGATTCATCAATGACATTCTCGTAGAGAACATAAAACCCAAATTCTACAATGACTGTGTCTACACAAGGACTCTAAAGTTTCGGCATTAATAGTTTTAGCTAGAGACAAATGAATTTGTTTGTGCTTACCCTAAACCATCATTTCTGTGACCAGCGGATCATTTCAGAGGAACCCTTTGGAGGCAGTGGTCTCACTTTAGCATCAAGGTGGAGCAGTTCAGTGTTGATTAAGTAGGGCTTACCATTCCCTGTGTTTCAGGGTGGGGCAACCCAAAGGTTGTAGGTTTTTAGGGCCACAGGTAAATTCAGTAGGTGGTGTAACACGACTTCTAATAGGTCTTAATAATAAAAGCCCAAAGTCAGATAATAGGGGGTAAAAGCTGAAAGATCAGAGAAGCAGAGCAGCCAGCCACTGGAGCTCTCACCTTCTCACCTCTACGAAATCCTCAGACTGAAAAAAGACAGTAAGTACCTGTCTCCTCCCTCCTATCCTCCTCTCTCTGCCCGACCATCTCACTTCCTATCTGTCTGTACAGACCTCTAGACCTCTATGGCTAGCTCTGCCCTCCGGTCTTCAGACAAGCTTTATTTCTTAGAGTATAAACAAGATATCACCACATGGTGGGATGATGACAGCCCATAACCACCACCTTCTGTGTGGGGATTGGCGTCTTCTACTCTGCTAGAAGAGCCAAGGCTCAACGACGATTATCTAGAAGTCTGGAGTGGCAACAAAGATGGGGAAAACCTTGGAGGAATCACCAGCCTTAATTCTCCTGAGAAGACTGGGCAATGCTTGAAGTATGTTAGACACATTTTTAACAACCATCTCTTCAGTCCTTGGGGTGAGTACTTATTTCCGCTTTGCAGATGAGGAGACTGAGGCACATTGAAGCTAAGGCCATTGAGGGCCTACATTTTTAAACCACACTGTGAATCATCACTCCTGTCTTTGTTTTTGCTTTTCAGAGCTGAGGCCTAAACCCTTGTGTTGCTAGGCAAGCACTATACCACTGAGCTAAGTCCCCAATGCTAACATTCCTGTTTTTAAAATGCAGTAGTACAGGAGTGAACCTTGTCCTCAAAGACAATGTGAGAGCATACTGAACTTGACCTTGAGAGCTCCTGTCTTAGGAACAAGTATGTACCTCATGCTGTCTCCTTGGTGACCACCTTTGCCCTCATTTGTTAACTCCTTTATAAGAATGAGAGACAGTGTTGGCTTTTGGGGGCTTTAATTTAGTCATTTTTTAAAGTGCCCGCACACTTGAACAATGTGTAATGTTTGTAACTTCCATGAAAGCTCCCTATAAGGGTCTCGACAGTGGAGTTCAGCCCCATGAAAACTCTGTTTTTGTGGCACACCCGTTTGTTTTTGTTTTTGTTTTTATGGGAAATGGATACAGTGACTAGACATTAAATATTCAAAAATCAAAGGAAAGTACTTGTAAGGACAATGATGAGCCTAAAATACAGGTTGGCTGTAGCCAAGTGGACACTTGAGGTTGGAGTAGGGGTGGCTGATGAGGTAGTCTAATTATATAGCTGATCCTGGTGGCCTGGGCTAAGGTAATGGTCTAAGTGGGTGTGTTTGATGGGATATGAGAAGAAAAGAATATAAGTAAGGGTTGGTGCCTAAATTCTTGGCTGGAGTTCTTCGTTGAGTGGGGAAATCATTTACAGAAACAGAGCTCGAAAGTGAAATCCACAGAAAAGAGGACATCTTAAATGACCTCCCATTAAGTCACCAAATAAATACATCATGTCCACAGATGGAGTTATAGATTTGGGAGATCTCAGTTTGAAACAGAAATTCAGGTCTGGAAGAGGAAGAGGGGTTGCTGCCAGGACTGAACTAGGGGTGCCCTGACTCTAGGGGTCCAGGGAAAGCAGATATATCCAATTTGCCTTTGGAGCAAGAAAGAAAAGCTGAGCAGAGAGAGGAAACAGAAGAGTGTTGGGAAGGGGGTGAGGCTGAGATCTGCTAGATGACTTTCAGCAAGGAGAACAAGAGCTGGTTCTGGGCACCCAGAAGGGTGACCTTGATGGAGCCCCTTTCAGGGTGCTGCTGGGGAGAGGCTCAGATGAAGTAGCCTATTGGTGCATCGGCTAGAACTAACTTTCAAGAGCTTCTCTGTGAATGAAAACAGAGTTGTGTGACTCACAGTTTTGTTTGTGTGTTAGAAGGAACATACAAAGGGATTTATGTGTAAGTAGAAATGAACTTAGAGGAGAGAGGAGAAAAATCAATCGTGAGGCTGGTCTTTTGGAAGCATCCCAAACTCCCCATGGGTTTGGGCAAGGATGAAATACTCACATCTTGGAAAGCTCTTGTTCCTGGAAATGGATGCCCCATGTTCTGGTCCAGTTGGCATGCAATGGACAGCCAGCCCAGTGTAGTGACTGACAGTCTGATCAAAGTGTCCCCTGCTTGCTCGGCTGCTGACCTGTTTTCTTTACCTTGGTGCCAACCAAGCTTCATGGTGAGAAGGAATGGATAGGGTGTTAGCAGGGTGTATACAGCTCTAACATCCCACAGCTCATTCACTGAGTCTGTGGTCCCTTTCTCCCTTAAAGAGCAAAGTAGAATTCATGTAGATACCTGCAGATTTCATGCTAGGGAAACACAAAGCTGTCACCACAATTCTTGGGCATTCTTCTCCCCACTCTGCTCTGCACTTGGGAAGCCTGCATTTTTGAGGGATTGTTGCTGTCTTACCGCAAAAGTGGCTCCTTCAGCAGTCTGCAGAATTCCATGTACACATGACATTCCTGTGTGTCTAAGTGTGTGTGGCTGGGGGGCGGGGGGGGGGGGGGGGCATCAACATGGAGTGTGTGTCTTCATCACTTCTCTGTCCCTTCCCCCCCCCTTTAATGCCTGGATCTGATTGGTTAGCCTGCTTAGCCAGCAAGCTTCAGGATCCCCCTGTCTCTGCTCCCTACCACTGGGATTACAGGAGTGCACCCAGCCCCACACTTGATAGCCTTTGTCTGGATGGCGCCCATTAAACATGAGGGCGTTTGTGAGCATGGTGGTTTTCTGGGTGTGAGGAGACACAGCTTTCTTCTTTTTCTTTTTTTTAAGATTTATTATATACACAGTATTCTGTCTGCATGTATGCCAGATCTCATTATAGATGGTTGGGAGCCACCATGTGGTTGCTGGGAATTGAACTCAGGTCCTCTGGAAGAGCAGCCAGTGCTCTTAACCTCTGAGCCATCTTTCTGGCTTTCTTTATCTTCCCGGTCCCATAGCTCTAGCCACCCACAGCAGGACAAATCTCCCTTGGTTATCTCAAGTGCATCAGTTCATCTACACACATATGCCACTCCAAGTAACTAACAGAGAGCTTCTCCCAAACAAATGGCATCGTCTCACTGACAGGAGTCGTGATGGATGGAACTTTCTCAACTCCATTCAAGCCTGTCCTTTGATTAATGCTGAATAGCACCAACAACAAGATCTGTGTTTCCCAGCATGGCCAGCCTGGACTCCATCTATCTGAGTTGTCACATTTCTCAAAACAGCCCTGGTATCAGACTGACTGTCAACAGCCCTGAAGATCTCCCTGCTTTAGCTAGCTTCCAGTAAGCTGAGAGTCGTGGCTGCTGCTCCAGCTTTGTCAGCTGCCAGCTTGAGGATAACCAAGGCTTCCTGTGCAGGCTAGAGGGAGGAAGGGTATCTGTTTAGTAGGTGAGAAATCAATGAGATGAAAATGCACACAGCAAATATGCAGCCCCCTGACACCCTAGAGAAGATGCACTTCAGCTTTGAATAAGTCTGGAGTGGAAAGTGGAGGGAGAGACTAAATGGAAGATATTCTTTATACTGGAGCCTAGGAGAAAACAAAATTTTTTTTATGGCGGTGGCTTAAAATAACAAGCAAGTATTTCAGGCTGTGAA